CTGGAACATATATTCCTGTAGGTTCTACCATGCCAGGCAGGTCGATTGGAGAATGGTAAGACCAAAAGCAGCAACTCAAGGTCTGAGGGCGAAGTCGTACTGCTGACTGTAGAGGGGTATGACAGCAGTAAGGTGTTTCCCTCGGACATCCAGCATCTGTGGCGATGCTGCCTTCCCACAAGGAGGGGTGGGGTTAGAAATGGTCGGCCCTAAAAATGTCACACCTCACCTTACCTCATGGATTTCCGTCTCCGACCGTAAGGCTCTTTGAAGAACGGAGCTAACACATTAAAAACCTTCCACGAAAAGACCGTGCGCGACCGACCTCGAGCAGTTGTCCCTTGGGCTCTGCGGTCACTCTCCCAGGTCGTTAAGACCAACACTAATCCGACTTCTTTTTCAGGTTCCTCAAGAAATACCCTTCCACGGTGTGGGCAGCCGGGAAGTGACATCGGCCCTCATACCCGTAACAGCACACGAGACCAAGTTGGTCACATTCAAATCCTTCCTACACCTCCTAATACCTCTCTTATCTCCATGACTAACCCTCTTCACGTCTCTTTATCACCTCGCATCGCTAGGGCAAACGATTCGAATACGCGGAACACTATTCCTGGTCTCCTGAATACACGCTCTGAACTACACGTAGGAGCTTTTAACGTCCGAACACTGTGCGAAATAGGACAACAAGCTTCCTTAGCTAGGACTTTAGAATCCTGCACCATCGATGTGTGCTGCGTCTCCGAAACGCGCATACAGGATCCAAGTAGCGTCATTCATTTGACCTCACCATGCCAAAATAAAGAACCGACTCGATTTACGCTTCGTGTATCTGGAAGCCCTGATTCTGCTTCCCGTGGCCTCGCCGGCGTAGGTATAGCATTGAGTCCTAGGGCAGAACTGGCTCTCTTAGACTGGATCCCAGTAGACAGTCGTTTGTGCGCTGTCCGACTAAACGGAACAGTAAGAATCCGGAAAGATAGGGACACTCGTCGTTGCCTCTTCGTCGTCTCTGCCTATTCTCCCACAGACTGCAGCGCAGATGATGTAAAAGATGAGTTGTACAGAAAGCTCTCCGACCTTCTCCGAAAATCTAGGCGCTCTGATGTAGTAATAGTGGCCGGTGACATTAGTACACAAGTAGGTAAACTAAGCGATAGGGAAAGACACCTGGGTGGGTCTTATAGCGTTGTGGCTCAAAGAACAGATTATGGCGACCGTCTGTTGCAGCTATGCTCAGATAACCGCCTCTTTCTTGCAAATACTAACCTTAAGCATAAGGAAAAACATCTTTTAACATGGCGACCCCCTATTTCGTCCCAACGTTGAACCCAAATAGATCACATCGCTATCAGCCACCGATGGAGGGGCTCGATAGAAGACTCTCGCTCATTCTGGAGCACATGCTTGTATTCAGATCATGCTCTAGTGCGAGCGCGTATTTTCCTGCGTTTTACTGGACGTAGGAAAGACGCTGCAAGGAAACCTCTTAGGGGTCTACTTAATGATAGTCAAGCTAAGAGTATATTTCAGGAACAACTAGAAAAACAATTAGGCTGCCATGTAGGTGATGCCCACCCCAAGGCAGCATGGAATGATATCCGAAAAGCTGTGGAAACAGCAGTGATATCTGCTAGTAAGGTAAACCACAAGGTGAGGGAGGAACACCTGATCTCAGCAGCATCTATCGCACTCATTCCACCCGGCTGTGAACATAATGAAGAGCGGAGTCAGCTTAAGCGCAGGCTGACAAGAAGTCTACGCAATGATCGTAAACAGTGGTGGGTAGCGAAAGCAAGAGAGGTGGAAAAGGCAGCGGCAATAGATAATAGCAGACAATTGTTCAGACTTGTTAAGGAAACCGACTGTTAGCGAAACACTCTCAGAGAAAGATGGACATATTATACATTCTCAATCCAAAAGATTGCATCGATGGGCAGAACACTTTAGGGATCAGTTCAAGTGGCCTTCAGCCACACTTCGGTTTCCCACGATCTCCAGTCAACCTGAATGGCACGTTAGTGTAGGTCTTTCGACTATTTACGAAGTTTAAAAAGCTATAGGAAATTTGAAACGAGGAAGAGCAGCAGGCCCTGACGGGTTCACTCCTGAGATTTTTAAGGATGGTGGTTCAGTATTACCAGTGAGATTAACTGAGGTCTTAGGTAGAATTTGGGAATTGGACGTAATCTCATCTGACTGGTCTCAATCACTGATTGTGCCAGTTTTTAAGAAAGGACAAAAGTCCCCTTCTGACAATCACAGAGGAATCAGTTTGACAAATATAGTGTCTACAATATTAGCTTCAATAATACTTCGACGCCTAACCAAAGCTCGTGAAGAACAGACTAGAGAAAATCAGGCTGGTTTTCGACCCGGACGTAGTTGTGTAGATCAGATATTCACACTACGTCAGGCTCTAGAACACAGACACACATTCAGACGCCCCACAATGGTAGTATTTCTCGACCTTAAGGCGACATTCGACTCTGTTGATCGTGAGGTTCTATGGCAGTGTTTGTCACTGAGAGGAGTACCATAGAAGTACATTAACCTTATAAAGGCTCTCTACTCGAACACAACTGGTAGAGTGAGAGCTTATGGCGAACTGTCATCAGAATTGATTACCTCAAGTGGTGTTCGTCAGGGCTGTCCACTCTCTCCATTCTTGTTCAACTTTGTCGTCGACGTACTTTTAGAGATAACACTTTACTCGTCTAGACTTCCAAGGGTTGAACTTCTACCGGGAGGTTCACTTGTTGACTTAGAATATACAGGTGACATAGTTTTATTTGGTGAAGACGCTGACAAAATTTAGAGTCTTCTGACCAGACCAAAAAATGGCACAAGTCCATGAAATCACTGACAAGTGAACCGAGTCATGTTGGTAGGTGTAGATTACCTGGTTGGGGACCACGAGATGATAGCAACCGATGGTTAGAGACGCTAAATGACATGGCTCAAAATCGTTTGCAATGGCGCAGGTTCATCCACTCTTTGTGTTCTCCCAAATTTTAATCTTCTGAATTCTTCATGTCCCTTTCTTTTTTCTCTTTCCAAATTTATTTCACTGGATTATACTCCTTGAATAACATCTTCAAACCCTAATTTTTCTGATTACAGCTTATAATTTTACTACATCTAGCACTACGGGACTGAATCGACCACTGCATCTCTGTGCAAATGTGGTGTGGCAACTCGGACCGATGTACGTACGTACGAAGTTTCACGTTGTTACTGGCCGAGTGACTGACTGACTGACTAGTCAACATCTATATTATATGGTTAAATCCCTATTCATTGATCACTAAGTGATTTGCTGTATGATGATTTGACGCAGTACTTAGTATTTACTTATGGTATTTTGAAGTTATACATTGACGTATTAAATCGCCGAGTATCATATTCTGTGAAATGCCACTAGCTCACATAAATAAGAGTGTGATTTAAGTTTAAGTAAATGAACCTATATTTATTTAATTATTTATATAGTGGTTTGTCAGAAAAATTAAAATACCAATTAAAGGCAAGCAAACTAAAAACTACTTGAAATTCATACAACTCATTTACCAAGTTTAAGTTAATGTAGTCGACTTTGACCTACATATTTTAGGTAAAGATAAGTAATACTGATAAATATTAAGTAGTCGTCAAGACGAAGACACGTGTAACTCAGTAATTTAGTTATTTGTGCTAGTTATGGCAGTTTATCTATCGATATTGTAACTTATAAAGGTGCTTTAACTTACTGATAAACTATTATTATTAACTGAGAATCCGATGTATGTTTAGGGTCCAATATTACAGTGATTGACTTAACTATTGAGCTACTGTGGCTATGGAATACAATTCGGCTGTAAAAACTGATATATATACTAGTAAACTAAGATTTACGAGAATAAATACAAACCCTAACATTGACCTTGAGTGAGGATCAAATAGATAACAACTGCGGTAAATCATCATTACAGTTCAGCTTTATATAAAACAGATTACCGGATCGGCTTTTAATAATAAATTAAAAATAATTACTTTTTTTTAAAAAATGATATTTCTAATTTAACATATTATTTGTCTAGGTAATATAGGGTATATATAATTGATAAATAAACGAGAATCCCACTACTGAACTGTTTAAGTGTGTGAATCAATTTGCCAAGAAACTATGCATTAAAAAGTGTGACATCTTTCCCGATGTGTCATCGTACAATTTCACATCGGAAGTAACTGTGTAAATAATTGACAACATCTATGACCCATCTGCCTAAACAAAAACTCAAAAAAGACAATTTACATGAAATATGTCACTCAATAAAAAAGGTAGACTTTGGTTAATAATTAAATTTCAGTTTAGTATAACGAAACTAAAGTTCTGAAAATGTGAAAATTATTGAATAATCAATTTAATTTATTGATTGAACTCATGAGTCAATTGAAGCTAGACCACCGTGGGAAACCTGGAAGAACTGGACAGCCGTTCCATCCTACTATACGTCCTGGGTGCGAATCTCGCGGAGCGGGATCGTGGATGCGCACTCCTGAAAAGTCCCTTACTAAGATGAAACAGCCATCCAGTGCTTCTAGGTTTTTCATGGTGGTCTAGCTTCAATTGACTCATGATCTCAACCATTATAATCTCTTTATTTTTTGAAATATTCATTCGAAAGTAAATGTTATGTGTTTTACAAATGTGTTTGGTTTATTTTTAACTTTAAAGTATGTTTTTGATATTTTATTAAAAAGACATGAGGCATTAACCTTTTGATTTAGTCATTCGGCTAATTATTTCATGAAAACATTTGAAAAATAATTAACAATATTTATGGAAGACTAAAAGAAAAAAGGTATAGGCACTGGGACAAATACTATTTTTTTCGCTCAAAATAAGGAAGACAAATCTAGATAGAAAGAAATAATGGTACCAAATGTGGCAAAGAACTACGAATTAAGGAGAAACAATCGAAAGAATGTGGTGAACTCGAGGACTACAATGCACAATGTTATACCGTATTATGATGTCGATTATGCATATTATGACAATCCAATCGACTTATATTAACTGGGACACTTGTAACATAAGGCTCATATTGTGATGAAAGACGCTGATTGTAAGCAGTATTGACAAAGGTATTAGATTCTAGGTACAGGAAGTAATTTATACTGTTTACTGTCTTGATTTAACTTTGAAGTAAAATGTTTCCCTGTCAATGGACACTTCCAGAATGTTTTTTTTTATAAGTAAATGGATGCATCTGAAAATGTCAACACTGAAGCTAGGATATATCTTGCTCCTTGTGATCTAGCTATTAATGAACAAAGTTTAAAAAAATCATAGATACATCACCACGATTCAAATATATGTATAGAGAACATCTATAGCTGTCAGTTCAGTGTTGTTATCAGGCTCTGGAGAGGAGATTGTCTTGTGCAAGATAATTGACTACCTACCGTCCAAGGTGATCATCAGATAGTAAAACGTAGTTTACAACGCATAAAGTTTAATACTTATACTTGTAACGCCGTTTTACATAGGTCAACTGTGATCCGATCAGTTTGTAGTAGCACATTATAACACTGAAAAAAAACATATCCTAAAGGTCGTCATTGTAAGTTAAAAACAAATCTTGGCATTTTAAATCTGCAGTTAGAACTTTCTTTTCAATTTAAAATTTCAACACCAACAGTACGTCTTAGTCCGATAGCGAACATACTAGGTCGTGAGTTATCACGAATTGACTAAAGCTGAAAATATGGACAATCGGATGAGAACTCTATGTTTTAAAAGTATTACGATGATCATGATATCTAAAGACCCTAGGTTTTAGTGGAGTTGTACGTACAGGCTAATGAAACATTCCATACTAGGACTAAACAAGTATCTAATGATCCCTAATCTTCAATGATTATTTATCTAAAGTTCATAATGTAAAATATGATTAAAAAGAATAACCTTCACTGGCCTTTTATTTCAATAATTTGGCCATTATATAGATAAAAACTTGTGAATATAATTCATTAATTCAAATTGTAATTGTAACTTTATGGCACTTTTTTGTAACATGTAGTTTATAAATTATGATAACTAACAATAAGCACAATGATAACAAATAATATTTTTGTGTATACTAGAGGTCAAATTTATCAATGAGATTTCATGTTCGTTTATAAGCTCAAAATGTTTTTTTTCTCTTTAGGTGATCAATATCATCATAAACCTGAAGTATACGAATGATATAAAGGTGTATAATATATAGTAATTTTGCATATTAAATGAGCTTATGTATGTCAGTATACAGAATAAAATCAGTCATATAAATGCATAATTCAGACAATAAACATAACAATTGTTTATATAAGTTAGTAGTGTTTGTTTAATTAATATCTATCGATGAAAATCTTGGTAACACCAATCGGACTTAAGAATACATACCTGTCTATATTATAAAGAATTTTCGGAAAAGAGAACATAAGGAGAGCGAGTGGTTGTTTAAATCAGATTTGTTCACATGATGAGTAATTCTCAGTAAATTCAAATTAACATTTATAAAATGATAAAACAACTGAAAATCAGTATACAATTTCACATAAATTGTAGATATTGTGTGTCATTCGATAATTATCTACTTAAATTATAGAAAACCGGTTAACTCATATTAGTCAGACCGAAACGGCCAATGAACTAGATATTTAATAAAATAGTATTTAGACACATGAATGCGATGTTTATGATTATAATTTATAGAAGAAGATAGTTTAAAACTATGATAGTTAGAAATATCGTACTATATGTCAATGAAACTGGATCTACAGAACGCCGATTACTCAAGCTGAGAGATCAAACCTGGTTTAGAGCGAAAACCATCTACTCATATCTCAAAGGAGATATCTGCGTGTACTGCCCCGATGTCTAGCGTGTTCAGTGTGACTGGTCTATTCAAGAGTTCTCCAAAGTGTTTTTACCCTCCTGTTCCTCTGTTTCTGAATCTTCGTGATTGGTTCGTCTCCAATGTCCTTGACCGTTCTCTCTGGTTTACTATGTTTGCTTGTTAGTATCTTCGTTGTGTCACATAGTTGTCTCATATTTCCTTTTCATGCAGCTTTTTCCGCCATTATTGTTAGATCTTCTCTTTACTTCTGCTTGTTGGTTCTATAGCTCTTCTTCACTGTTGTTGAGAGTTGTCTTGAATTCATTGAGTTTTTCAGTGTCTCGAAAGAAAACTGCACTGAACCTTTGCATTGCTGTCTCCACAGCTGTACAGTAGTCCTTTAGCTCTAATTCCATCTTCAACACAACCAGGTGGCGATCTAAATCTATTTCAGCTCCTCTCCTGGTTCTCACGTCTTCCATTAACCTTGTGAATTTTTTACTGATGCAAATATGATCTACCTGGTTCTCCGTGGTGTGATCCGATGAAACCCATGTAGCTTTGTGTATGTGTTTGTGTGTGAATATAGTGCCGCCTATTACTATTCTATCGAGGACACATAAATTTGTAAATCTGTCACCATTCTCGTTCCGTTCTCAAAGTTCAAATCATCTCATGATATATTCATACTCAATGTTGTCTTTTTCGATCTCAACCTTTAGGTCTCCTATCAGGATGATCAGGTCCATTCCTGAGCACATCCTCAGGATCGACTGCAGCCTCTCGTAAAACTTGTTTTTGTTGTCATCACTGCGATCATTAGTGGGTACATAATATTGGATGAAATTCATTTTTATCCCATCCTTTTTTGCTTTGAAGAATGCTTTGATAATTATGGATCCACGAAATTACCATTCTATAATTGCTTTTCGTGGTTTTTTTCTCGTTGTCATTGGAATTCCTTACGTAAGCAAAGCAGTTTCTTTTTGATGACCAGAGTACAATGACATCTGTCTCGAAGCTAATCTTGTGTGTCCAGCTTGAGTGCAATGTGGTTCGCTTATTCCGAGAACCGCCAAATTGTATCTTCACATTTCCACAGCTATTTGATTAGTCCTCGTAGTCCCCTACATTGTCCGAAAATTCTATGCGCCTATATTAATTGTTACTCCGGTTGTTATAAGGGGCATCGGCCTCGTGACTTCCGAAGAATCTCAGCTTTGAAGATGCTTCAACGTGTAGATCAAAGTTTAAGTAATCAAAATTGTTGTTTTCTAGTTAGTGTTTTTTAGCAAGGTTGTTTTCTTCGAGTTAGGGTCACATTCCTTTTAAAAATAGCAGGAGTTTTAAGTTAGTGCTCTGTCTCTGTCTACTCAAATTGGAATGAAATTAAGTAAACAATATTTTAATCTGGAGGGCTATTCTACCTGCATGTTGATTCCTTTTTGCTTTAAATTGAAAAGTTATTTTGGATCGGCAAAAAATATAAACCGGTCTTCTATAAGATGTTTTCTTAAATATCACTTTGTTATAAATAAAAATATGGGTATGTTCATAGTGCTTCAATCCCGGGATGTTGGAACGATATTAAATATATTTGGGAATCCATTATGACTATGTTTTAAACTAGTTTTTGTCTACATCAGTCAAGAAATTTAAGAAATAGCTATACTTGTAAAAAATAAATATGTAGTCTTACCAAATGTATGTTGCATTACAGCTATATCACGACAAATTTATTTTTGTCTCAATATTTCCCTCGACAAACAGGCCATTTTATTACAACTAGTTGGAGTACATATAACATTGAACTGAAGGTAACCTAAAATACTAGAGATTTTATGAAATAGCACACTTTTGAACCGAAGACACTTTATTCTTCGGTTCTAACGAAATTTCAAAACAACACTGTTTCATGTGTTTATCTATTGACTTCGATTTTACGAACTGTTCTTATTAAAGCGTCAGTTAACTGTTTTTTTTTCTATAAAATCAGAGTATACTTAATTTTCATAATTGTGATTTAATACATTTCCTCTGTCAGTGTTACCATATAGTTGGAACATTGTGTCTATCAGTGTGAATGAAACACTATCAATAACATTCTTGCCTTTTTTTATAATCATACACGGTCATTTAACTTCCCAATTTGTCATTCTAATAAAAAGACTTATTAAATGAAATATCGTTAAGAGTCTTGACAAAATTATCAAGAAGTCAGGACAACATTAAGATACATCATTTTGTTTTGTTGTTAGGAGGATACTTCAGTTCTCTCAGTTTTGTTTCACTTTTCTTGAATAATGTAAATTAAATTAAAACGTGTATTTACTTATTACCCATCTATGTGTTTACATTCTCTCTCATATACAGTTTTAGTAAAACAAGAACAAGACACATAGTAGAATATTCCAAATTTATTTATTTCGTGAACTTATATCATTCTGCTAAGATTGTTGCCTCTGTCTTACTAGAATGTATAATGAAAACGAACAGTATAAAATCACACAAATGTTTCCACTTAAATGTTAATGCTTGATAGAGCAATATAAAATTTTGATTTAAACAGTTTGATTTTTAACATAGTTAGTGGTTTACCATAGGTATAACAGCCTTTTACGGCTATTTATGAACCATTATTATTTCTCTCTATCTCACTACGAAAGATTACTGGCCAATCAAGTGAGTGAAATTCGTCACTATACATCAGCTTCCTTGACTATGAGAAAGCATTTGACAGCGTAGATGGGAGAATCCCATTGTGCCTCCTTCGACATCACGGTGTGTGTAGCTGAGATCGTTGACATCATATGAAATCCATTCGAATGATTACACTGCAAATCCACTCATAAAGGACAACTGACAGACAGATTTCATGGGAGGACCGTAGCCGGACACAGGTGCTTACTTTAGCCCTTTCTCTTTATTCTGGTGGTTGACTGGATTAGGACGACATCCACATCTGAGGGTATGAACGGAATACAATGGACAGCTTGAATGTAGTTGAAAGTTTTGGACATTGCAGATAACCTAGCCCTTCTAGTCCATACACGCCAACAAATGCAGGTCAAGACAACCAGTGTAACAGCAGCTTCTGTATCAGTAGGCCTCAAAATTCACAAGAAAAAAAGAAAGGTCCTGAAATACAACACAGACAGCACTATTCCAAGCGCACTTGATGTGAAAACTCTGGAAGAGGTGGAAAGTTTCATGCACCTGGACAGCATAATCGACAAACAAGGAGGATCTAATGCAGAAGTAAAGGCAAGGATTGGCAAAAGAAAGAAGCATTCCTACAGTTGAAGAACAGATGGAACTCAAAACGACTGTCAACCAATATCAAAATCAGAATCTTCAATACAAACTTTGGAGCAAGCCTGCTGTACGAATCTGAAACTTGTAGAACTACTAAAACCATCATCAAAAAAGTGAAGGTGTTTATAAACAATTGTCTGCTCAAGATACTCAATGTTCATTGTCGACCCAATATCATTAGCAACAGCCGGCTGTGGGAGAGAGCGAATCGGCCTCCTTCTGAAGGGTCAATTAGAAGAGGGAGCTGGAATTCGATAGGAAGAATTGTGAAAATCAACGAACTGCATCTCAAGGCAAGCGCTAGCTTGGATTTTTGAAGAAAATGGAAAAGAGGAAGGCCAAAGAACACTGCATCAAAAATTGAAAGCAGATATCCAAAGGATGAATAGCAACCGGAAACAGCTAGAAGAGATCGATAGAGAATGCTTGTGTGAGCCTTATGCTACTTCACGAGGAGTAACGAGCGTTGGTATGTAAGTTGGTAATCAAGTATGAAAATTAATACTATTATGACCAAGTGGTCATGTTGTTTCGGAAAATGATACGCCAGAATCTTAGATGGTAATACTAGTAAACATCTATATATAGTTTTGTTTAATATCAGTCGTTTTGTTATCTTAAAATCATTTCCCTACTTACTTTCCGATGGTTTTCTTGGTATTCTTCCTCTATTTCTTTGCTTCTCAGTATATGCTTCGCCAGGTGTATGAAATGACATCGTTACAGATCGACGAAAATTCATTAAATTACGATAAATCAGCTCAAGCATCCACAGTAAAATGACTTGTGTAAGGTGTGCCACGAAGATTCGTGGAATCAACTTAGAGACACGTCTATGCTTTTATAAGGTGTATGACTGATAGATAAGTAGTTGAGGGATTTTTAGTTTTAGTCACAGGTTCACACCATTCTCATTCTTTATTTTTTTAAATAGCAAAGTGCGATTGCTGATTTTTCACAACGAAGATATAATTCAAAGTCGGACGCATCAGTATGTACTAGATATACAAATTAGAATAACACCAACCCACTGCATATACAACTAATAAGTGGTTTTAAGCAGTTAAAGTATTATCCAGAAGTGTTCACTGGGAAAACGTAATGAATAAAGTCGTTCAGTAGTACTAAATACATATGTTGTCTGAAAAGTGTGTAACAGTAGCTCCACCTTCAAAGCGAATTTGTCTCAACGATTTTAATGTAGATTTATTTCTAATTTAAAGCAAAGCATTGTAGAAAGGTAAATACCCACTGTTATACACATAAACAGAAATATATTCGCTAAACTAGTCATAACTGTATATTTGAAACTGAAATATTGTTCATGTGCGTCAATCTCAGCTATTTGCACAAAATTTATCAAAAAAACCAACAAATTATTGCCTAGGTTATTATGTAATTCCATGCATAACATTTTGCATGTTACAGGTATGTTCTATACAGAATTTAGTAGCCTGTTACTAATTAGGTCTGTAGCGGTAAATAAATCCCCAAAATAAATAGCTTTGTAACTTTTTGACATTGGATGCTGACCAGATTAGTTTTAATGGGCTCACCTAGCTGAGGGCGCTCGGTTATGCAACCGTGCCAGATCACGTGTGGGAACGCCGTGTTCAACATTTACTGCAATCGCTAGTCAGACTAGATCAGACGATTCCGATATACTGGCAATCGTGAAATACAACTTCTGATCTCCTCGATTCTGTCTTTTGATTTATCTTGGTGAGTACGAGTTATATTAGGTGTTACTGGTAAAAGCGTTGTCAAACACTGAATACCTGTGCCATCTTCAGGTCGTTTGTTCTTTCTAAGTAGACTTAAGATATATATAGCAATTTGAAGAGAACAAACGTCTTCAACGATTATCAGTGCATGATCAGAAACTAAAGACAAGCAATAGCTAAGAAAAGTCGAGATTAGAGGTAATTTATTGATGTGGATAAAAGACTTCTTAGTTGGGCGTCAACAAAGAGTTCGGGTGAACTCAAAGTTATCTAGCTGGAAAACTGTGCTTAGTGGAGTGCCCCAGGGTACAGTTTTGGGGCCAGTGCTATTCCTCTTGTATGTAAATGACCTTCCTTGTCTCCTATCATCATCGGTCTTGCTATTTGCTGACGATGTCAAGATATGGAGAACGATACGATGTAAGAGTGATAGCTTAGAACTTCAAAATGACCTGAAGAAGTTATCTGAATGGTCTCAAACCTGGCAGTTGCCGATAAATACTTCCAAGTGTGTTGTGATGCATATCGGTCATCAAGGTACAGATACATACACGATGAATAACACTGAACTACCTGTCATCCAGACACATAATGACTTAGGAGTCTTCGTTAGCCGAGACTTAGAGACTACTGCACACTGCCGTACAACAGCCGCCAAAGGATTTAGGACCTTATGGTCAATACGTAGGGCTTTTAGTCATGTCAACGCTAAAACGTTTTTGACTTTGTATACAGTGTTCGTACGTCCTAAACTTGAGTACTGCATACAAGCGGCTAGCTCCTGCTTAAAAAAAGACAGTGAGCTTCTGGAAAAGGTTCAGAGAACGGCGACTAAACTGACTCCCGGAATAGCGAAGCTTCCGTATGAAGTTCGACTGGTCAAGCTGAACCTTTTCCTGTTGTCATATCGCAGAACTAGAGGCGACTTGATTACAGTTTTCAAATTGCTTAGCGATAAATTTGCACCTGACATGCTCTAATTTTTCTTGTCTTCCAAAACAGAGAATTTACGAAGACAATCCAAAAAAGTTCATAAACCGAGAACAAATTACTTGTCAGCTGACTATCGACTTTCCCATTGAATCATCAACGAGTGGAATTCACTACCTCAGCACGTGGTTGAGGCTCCATCCGTCGACTCTTTCAAAAGAAAATTGGATCAACTGAGAGACCATCATTGCCAGGACTAACATAGGCCATCGAGCCTCATGTCTTTCCCAAACTGAAACTGAATAGGAATCAGCTTGCTATCATAATAATTACACTTAAAGATAAAGAGAGTACTAGACTTGTTGTTTTCATTCGCGTAAAACCAGATGAAAAACAATTAAAGTGTAAATCTCCAACTTATTTCTGCTATTTAAGCAACCTTTATATATTCAAATATTACTATATATTGTCCTAAAGACACAACGCAAGATATATTAGGTTTGTTTCTGGGAAGACTGAATAAACAAGTTAAAGAATAACTTGAATCGCGTGTGACAATATATCAAAAATAAAATACAGCTTGCATCGTGAACCGAGTCAAGTTGAACCTTCTCTGTTGTTATTCGCATTCGAAATACAATAGTTATTATATAAACAAAACTTGACGGTGAAAAATAGGGACTCTGAACCTCATTCGACACACCAACGATAATCGAACCGCATTACTCATACGACAAGAATGGTGCTTTTGACAAAAGGTACAGACAATTTAGTGTTTTATCAGTAAACTTGTGACATTAATGCAAAACATTTCGAGGTAGAAAAACGATGATCAACCAAACAAATACAAGAACTCACAGTCAAACTGTATTTGGACTATATGCTTTGAAACAGAAACAGTTCAACATATTTTGAAAGTTCCATAGTCACATGTGACAGGTAAGACATCCGAAAGCGTCATTTTTGAAAATATCACACAAAAACTAATAGCTTTTCTAGTGATTCAAACAAATGTCCAAAACATCACGAATTCGAGTCGTACATAATTTTTGAACCCTGAATATCCATAGATATTTTCAAAATACACAAAATGTCACTTTAAAATAGTTCGTAAAGACGATTTGTGTTAAATTTTGCTAGGATATTTCCTGTAACACCGATATTTAAGATGAAATACATAATTATTTTAGTTTTAATTGGTTAGGTTCAACTGTTTTGAAGAAAACAGATGGATAATTTGGCGATGATTCAATATTATTGATCGAGTCAGTTAGTCAGTCAATCTTGTGAAATATAATCATACATTAATTGATTAACAAGCCGCTAAACAAATTTATTCATAATTATCTATTGTCCGGATATTCGAAATGATGTGGATTTTATTGCCACTGTGGACTTTCATTAGCTAATGATTGCAGATTGACTAATTCCTGCTTTATTTATTGCGTCACTCAAGTAGCCATATACGGTTGCAGCCACTCATTTGTGTTATACAGTTATCAAAGTAGCTGAGGTGCCTGCATACGACGTAAGGTAATAACAGCGAGTAGTTCCATGTATCCAAGTAATGTTTGCACCGTTGACGATCATTTTCCTCTCATTCTAAGGCTGTCTGGAACATGCTCAAAAAACGAAGATATATCCTTCTTTGATTCTACCAATGTAGGTGTATGATCCATTCTGAATGTTTTGTTTGAGAAAATCTCTCCATGTATACACTTGCAGTTTGCTCCTGTTGTACATTTTATTAGTCCTTGATTCCATTTGAGTTGTTAATATTTGTGTTTTATTATGGTTTCTATTTTTCTTACGCCTTCACTAAGTTTCCGTGTTTCTTCCTGAACTGCATTTAGGTTGTTTTACTTGATATTTAGCCTTAGCGGCAGCCATATTGATTTGTTCCTCCTTTTGATTGTGTTGCTTTTATTGACTGGAATTGTGCATTTTTGGTTATGAATTGAGACACTCCTAGAATTGGAAACAATCTGTGTTATCAAGCAACCAAATATTATCATTTGAGCGAATATGTGTGACAGAACAGCATTTATTTGTTGCGATCGGTAATTTTCTCGCATCCCTTATCAACTTCCTCATTTATTGTAATTTAGATATTGATTTATTGAACGATTATTGGTCGGATAGATGGGTGGACACACTTGTTTAGGTAACAATGTACATTAGGATTTATGATGAATTTTAGAAGTCAATTTACTCAATTACTTTGTTTTAGTTTCAACCAGGCAGGAGCGCGTATCTAACCCACCTAGACAGCTATTCTTCAGTCCAAACCTTAGTTTGGATCTTACAGTAGGTACACGTGAATCTACAAGGAAAGTTGTGGTTAAAATGCAAGTGTTGTTTGTCGATTTATTATTGGGTTAATAAACGTGTTGTCGTACACAGAATAAATAGTCTCGCCAGTGCAGTGTCAAGCCTTTTGAAGATCGTGCTTGCGACGGCATCACTTTGGAGGATGAAATTTATGAAACTCACTTTTATTGATTGCAATAATTTCCGTCTTGTTTTGTACTTCGATAATCGAAACAATCCAGTGAATTCCCTATGTTGGCAACGAAGAAATGATAATCAGATCATTCTTCACAAACATTAGGTAGAAGAGAGACTAGGAAGACTGCAGAAATAGCAGATAGAAAAACTTTTTATTTCAACGGATATAGCTGTCAGCAAGAAAATAATGCTCGGCCATGTAATAGGTTTCCCAATTTACACTTCTGAATCAATAAATCAAATCATTTACAGTGAAACAAACTGAACTATGATTGAACAGTAGTTACAAATCAAACCTAGCATCGGCACTAGAATTGTTACCATTGAAGTAGCTACAGATTAAAGGCAGTGTAGTATGAAGCAAAGTGAAACTGTTCCGAACGAACAGAAGAAAAACTGATGTATAAGGCGAAGTAAATGTTTAATAATTCTGAATGATTATCAATGAGACATCAAGCATTTAGTTACGTAAGCAACTACATCTTTATCTGTTTATCATTCTGTTTTTGTGGAGTGCCAGCCGTTTAGTCTTGTGGTAAAAGTCCGAACGTGAATATACAACAACTCGAGCCAGGTTCTTAAGAGTTTGCCGAAAACTTTCTGATAA